GAGTCCATTTTCTATTAAAATATAGAAGTTATTGCAAAACCCTAACTGTAAAAACGCACCAATATAACTGGAGTTTGTAATACAGTAGCTAAAGAGTCCCACGCGCTCAGTGTGATGGTGAATTTGCCTGGCGGAAGGTTGACAAATCCCCCATCCACTTGCCCTGCCTCCAGAGAAAACCCACCCAAACCAGACACATAGAATTTGGATCTCTGAAACATTTTAAATAAGTTGTCCATAGGACAACTGGCTCAGCTCCTTTAGGATTATTTCCAGGTTATGCTTTCTGCAAGATGTTGGCTGTTGTAGCTGATGCTCACTTGCCCCTTTCCTCCCCCTTCCCCAGCATCCAAGGACAAGTAAGGCTCACAGTTTTATCAATCTCCCTAAAAACCAGGCTACTCCCTTTTCCCATAAAATTCAGCTTGTTAAAAACATGTTAAAACTCATAATCTTCCTCTGCCATGTCGATAGCCCACGCAAACTTCTCCCGTTGGGTTTTGTTATAAATCTTCTCTATAGGAATTCCCCACTTCTTACACCTGCGGGAGAGGAGACGCTGTTAGAGTCACAGAGCACGGGCACCTCGTGGCGCCCCAGCCCCTCCCGCAGCTCTGCTCGTCATGAACACCAGCAGCAGAGCACATCCAGCCCCTGCCTGCTGTTAGACCCTGCAGCTCCCACCCATCGCCTCCCTGCACAGCGCTGGGGGTGGCTCCCATGTCACACCTGCACCAAGAGACTCTTGTAGCCTCCTGGAACCACCTGAAGACACAGGCGAAGGCCACAGAGGTGCCTGGCAGCACAGGGGCACTGCTCTGCCACAGTCCCTGCCTGCTAACTGGGGGGGACACAACAGAAGTGAAGGGGTGGTTCCTTCCAGCACACCCCGGGCAGATTCTTACCAAGCAACAGAGATTCTGGGATCCAGATAGTTGAGTTTGGAGGTGCCCAAAGCAATCTGCTTGTTCTCCTCCCTGTCTGTAGCCTGAACCTCCAGCTTCATCAGTTGCTCCTCAATCCTCTGTACTGCTTTCTTCTTGCTCTCCACTGTCCTAGGGTGGGAAAGAAGCAAATCATTTAATTCCTCTATGCTCTGCTAGGCTGGAGCTGGCAGCACTGTGGTAACCCCAAGGGATCTGCTCAAGGTAAGCAATGCCACCAGCCACAAGGGGCAGCTGTGTCAGCACAGATGGTGACACAAACCACTCAGCACATGCAATTAAGAACTGACATGTTCCAAGAGGCACAGCAGAAATCCTGAGCAGCAGTTTTGTTTTAAAGGGTTGGAAGCAACAGCCTGAACTGTACTGGTGCTACATCCACTTCAAACCCCTCCCAGCTACCCCGCTGCCATAGTCATGCTGTGATCCTGCTCTCAGAGCTCCCTTTGCTCAGCACCCCTGTGGCTGTTCTGCAGAGCCCCACACAGAGTCCACCATCTGCACGGAGATGTGTGTGTGCAATTGGGTACTCGTGGCTCCCCATTACAACAGCAGTGCTGCACACTGGAACCAGTGCTCTGCCTGCTCCTGGGCAGCAAGGTGGTTGAGCACTGCCTGGTGCTCAGCTCAAAGGGCTGAGACACAGTGGAGATGTCCTGGGGGAGACCACTGCTCGTGACCACATCAGGAACTGCAGTGTCAGACCACCTTAACGTGAAGGCCATTTCTTCACAACAGAGTTGAGGAGGGAACAAGAAAGCCTGAGGAAGCCTTCCCAGATCACAGGCTGGGCAAACAGAATACAGGGTTAAAGACCCATTTGGAGCTGAGAGTAGTGGGAGCATTGCACAGCCTAATTAACAACAGCCTTACTTTTTAGACTTCTCATCCCTCCGGACCTTGGCATCAGCTTTGGCGCTTTTCAGTTCTCTCCTGGCATCAGCTAACTGCTCCTTCTTGGCATCGATCTAGGAGAGGCAAAACCAGACAGCAGCACTGTGACCAAGCTGCTGACAACTGTGGCAGCATGATCCAGGGAGCGTGCCTGTGACCACGTTCTGCATCTAGCAGTGGTCAGACACACTCCTGCAGGACAATGAGGCCATTTGCCTTTGCAGCAAAGCCTGGTATGGAAAGATCCCCCTCAGAAAACAGGGCCCCACTCATTTCTGAAGACAAGGTGGTACTGGGAGCTTCCTCACACCACTACAACTAAGCAAGTGAAGGAACTGGCTTGGCCTGGGACTGGTCAACAGCCCCTCTCTTGTCTGCCTCCACCATATCCTGCCAGTAGTAGCTCCCTGAGGGTAACCCAGGAGGATGATCCCTGTTCCCTGTAATTGCCCCAAACCCTACAGGCTGAAAGCTGTTAAGGCTTCAGGCAGTCCTTCTCCAGTAAGTTCAGGGTTCAGGGAGATTTAGCATTTTGCATCCCCTTAAACACCCCCAAGCTCGAAGGTCTAGGGTGAAGGCAGCCATGTTAGGTGTTACAGAAGCGGGGGACACTGCAGTGCCAAACCAAAGTCCTTATTGTGAAGGTTATTCTAAAGCCAGACCAGGAACAGACCTAACCCCTTTGGACCTCATGGCCTTCACCAGAAACAATCTGCAAAGGAAGAGCTCAAGTCAGAGGGGCTTCATGTACCACGTACACAGCCTGCCCTGACAGCAGCCTGGGAGCCACACAGCAGGAGCGGGTGCCCACTCTGCGTTCTTGAGGGGACACGAGTCAGAGCTAGAGGCTGCTGCTCGGAAGCTCCAGTGGCAGCAGAACACGTAGCTATGGCATGAAGGGCACGCACAGAGGGCCTGGTCTTGGTCTTTACAAGTAAAAGACAACTCCAGGCTGGAAGGTGTCCCTTTCAGCTCGCTGCTCCTCCCCAGGCAGGCCCAGCTCTGGTGCAGCACTAACCAACTCCTGACAGGGAAAAGCTTCACCGCAGGTGGAAGGGAATGTGACCCCTGAGATGCAGCCCTCGGAGCCCAGCTCCAAGGCAAGAGCTGGCCGGGGGGGGTACCTTGCTCTGCAGGTTCATCATGGACTTCTCGAAGGTCTTCGGTGGAGCCCTCTGGTGGTTACACAAAATGGCAACCGCTCTGTTGGCACGGTTGTAGGACAGGATCTTTGCTGGGATGTTGTCGTCGGCTGCAAAGCACAAGAAGTGGTGAGCACATGGGTGCTCTGGGGCTGTGCAGCCCCAGCCAGGCTCCCACTGACTGCAATTCAGTCACTGCAGAAGTGATGGGCCAGGCTTGACTCCGCAATCTGACCACAGCCAAAGAGCCACCACTTCCACCCCTGACTCCTTCCGGGATGGTTTGCTCTCTAGCAACACCACCACCGTTTGCCATTCAAGAGAGGGGAAGCACTTCCACGCTCAGGACACAGTAACACAGGACAGCAGGACCATACTGCTCAAGACACTGCTGGATCTCACAGACCCAATGTGCCCACTCTGTAAAGCTGCCCAAGTGCTCAATAGAGAGGTGGTGAATGAGCAGACAAGAAGCATGGGGCTGTTGCAGACACAGCTGCCCCTGCCTGCCACCTACAGCAGCGCTCTGCAGTTAACAGAAAGCAAGAGAGTGGGTAAAGAACAGGCACAAAGCAGCAGGCACCCCTTTGGGCTGTGCTGCCAGGCCAGCTCTGCCCTGCCCACTGCTGGGCTGCTCCATTACCCCACAAGATTGAGTGGAGGCAGATTTCTGGTCAGACCTCAGCTGTCTGACATTTGCACTGGAACATAGGATGTGCAGGAGGAAGTGGTGTAGATGCAAGACCTGTGGCTAAGGCAAGGAAGCCAGGTCTGTGTGGCAGGGTAAGATCTGTTCCCCTCGGTTTCAAGGGCAAGACTTACGATTAGTGAGTTCCTTGAGCTGCTGCTGTAGCGTGATGGAGGCATTGTAAGTACGGAATACCTTGGCTGTCAGTCCCTCCATAAGGTCTTGAAGGTGTTTGTTTAAGATACTGGTCTAAGGAAGCAGAAAGGAGATGACAGTTAGCAGCAGAACTGGCCACATCTGTGAAATCTCTGGACATGGCTGACAAAGACATGCAGCTCACAGCTGAGGCCTGGTGCACGCAGAGCTGACCACAACAGAATGGCCACAACATTACTGAAACCACAGGAAAAGCGAACAAAACCCCAACAAGTATTAGGTTAGGTATCAAGTAACCACAAGTGGCCAGAACAGTCTTCTTCAGTGAGGAGGTTTTGGTTCCCAGCAGGTAGAAACGTGCCTGTCCCATACCAGGGAAGGTGCCTGGGCCACCACCATGCTCCCATAGAGGAAAATGTGCAGATGGGGACAGCAAACCTGTCACCTCAGACAATCATCACCTCCTGAGCCAGAGGCAGCCACGCTCAGCAGGCCCAAAGCCCACTGCTCCAGGGATCTGCGGGCAGGGCACACGACAGGCACCACACTGAGACACTCCTGCTTGGAGGCCAGCTCTGGAAGAAAACTGCCACTGAAACCACTTCTGGATCACAGCAGCTTCTATTCCCTTGTGCAGACTGAGCCTCTTCCTGGTGCTCTACCCCATCCCTCACCATTAACCATGTGCTTACATTGAGGCGGTCAAAGAGATCATCCTCAGGCTGCTTGTTCTCCATGAAGAGCTGAAGATTCTTAAACACCTGCAGGAAAAGCAAACCAGCAACTTGAGGCACATGGACCAGGCAGGTCTGGGAACCAGGAATACATCAGAACAACGCTGCCAGGAGCCACTTCAACTGCTTCCAGGAAAAGTGACGATGCTGGATGTTATTTCCCAGCAGGCAAAGACCCTTTTTCTCAGCACAACGCTTGTGTTGAAGGTTCCTCCCCAGCAACAGGAGTCCTGAGCATTCAATGCCCTTTATGCTTGTCCTTTAGCTCAAGATTGCTCCAGCTCAGCTGCCTGACAGAGACTGAGACCTGGAAGCTACCACCTTTCCCCATCATGCCTCCAGCCAGAGACCCCTGAGCCATTTCGCATGGAGTGAAGCTACCAAACCCCAACCCTTCTCACAGCTGCATTAAGTGTTTCATACAGTTCCATCCTGAACAAGTCTCTGAGGAGGGAGAATAATCAAACCAGCTTTGATTATACAGAGACCACAAACCCCACCTCTGCATGCTCCAAATCCCCAGTCCCAGCTTCTCAACAACACACGTTTTTCTACTGCAGACACCTAATATACAAGGATTTCTAGTTCCACAATAATCAATTCCCCATTGTAAGCATTGAAGACACCAAGAGGTACCAACAGGAATGAATTTAAAGAGGAAAAATGTTTTCTTCTTTAAACAAGGAAGTACAAATTCCACTCTATGGCAGCCAGTTTGGGTTTTCCCAGTTGTTTTGCTCCCCAAAAGCCAACATTTACTGCCAGCTGTCCTTACAGCTACCCCAGTGTCATACCTGTGGTATCTAACACACTGTGCTGTCTGCAGAGCTGTGGGCCAAATGCAAAGCTCTTACACCCCAAGTCTTTTTGGCTGGTGCCCTCCAGGTTCACCCTGCTGCATGGGGATTTACTCTGGGAGGAGGTCAAGATCACAGCAGATGTGAAACTGGTGAATGACAAAGAAATAAAGGAATCAACACTGCCTAAGAATGACGTCTTGGCTGGCAGATACCCAGGTTCATAGGCCAGAAGTAGCAGTGCCTCTGCTCTGTGTGCTCTGTAGCACCTCAGATCAAGACCTCAGTGAGGGCTCAGCTCCAACGTGAACAGAACTGTGACAGAAGAGCTGGTACCATGAAAGGCCAAGTCAATCTGCTGCTCCAACAGTGCCACCTTAGAAACTCTTATGCTGCTACTTGTCATATGGGCCTGGAACTCTCCCATCTACAAGTGACAAACCCAACTCTGCTCATCAGAATGAGACCCAAGAAACCCATCTAACAGAGCTGTAGAGAGTTCTGTTACACCAGCACTTGACACTGGGACCACAAGGAAGAGCAGTAAGGTTTTAGTATCTTATGTGCTGGGTTATGTCACACCACCTCAGTGTGTGTGCAGCTTCGTATCCATGGCACTGCCAACATAAAGGGAAGGACATTAACTGACTTATTTTCTGGCTGGGAATCCGACCAGTGATGAAGCACCCTGCTATTGCCATCAAAACTGTGCTGACCACATTACTGCACCATTCAGGTGTGGGGGTGCTGGGGTGGGGGGGCTTACCCTCTTCTCAACAGGGACTTTGTTGTAGTATCGGATGGAGTCTTTTCCGAGGAAGTCAAACTCAACCACGTATTCCTGGCCATCCAGTTCGGGATGCAGCTTGATGTGTTCTACTCTCAGGGAGCAGCAGCCCACGGTGTCAGCTGTCTCTCCTTCTTCCTTTTCATTACCAGCTCTCAGGGCAAGCTACATTTATATCAAGGCAAGAAAAGTCATAAGCATTTCAAACCGTTCCTGCAATGGATAGATGCTGGAAGCTTTCAGACCCTGCCCTGGGATCAGCAGTGTCCATAGGAGAAGGGAAAGGGAGAAAATGCACTTGAGTGGATTAAATTGACACTTGTAAAAATTCTAAGAAAAACAACCTCAATTCTCTTTAAATCTGTTTTAAATAACCCCAAGGCCACAAATCTACCAATCTACCAAACAGAACCAGGGGCAATGGGTTTAAGCTTACACAAGGGAGATTTAGGTTGGAGATAATGAAGAAGTTCTTCCCTGTGAGGGTGCTGAGGCGCTGGCACAGGGTGCCCAGAGAAGCTGTGGCTGCCCCATCCCTGGCAGTGTTCAAGGCCAAGTTGGACACAGGGGCTTGGAGCAACCTGCTCTAGTGGAAGGTGTCCCTGCCCATGGCAGGGGGTTGGGACTGGGTGAGCTTTAAGGTCCCTACCAACACAGTCCAGGCTGGGATTCTGGGATTCTATACCTCATTTTTATACATAGAGAAGTTTAAGGGAAGACTTTTACCAACTTCCGCCCATGAGACAACTCAAACTGTGAGACAGTTCTAATGGAAATCCATTTCAAATCATTTGGTGTGGTTTCAAATCCAAACTGACTTCCATGTGAACTGAACCTGATACAAAATCACACAGTTCAGTTGTTCATCTTCTACGATCCTACCTCCACACAGTTCAGTTGTTCATCTTCTACGATCCTACCTCTGCACTGCACTTTAACTAGCACACAGGACACTTGGGGTTTGATACATCACCTAAAGGCTACATTTGGCTGCATTAACAGTGTTTAACAGCACTGACCAAACAAGTATCTAATTTTTTTTAGGAAAAACCTTCAGTGTTCCTCTGAAACCACAATTATTCAAATCTAATTCCCTGGTTTACACCAACTTATACCAAAACCAGTTAACTCAGTTGGTCACGACACCACCAGGGCAACAGCTCTCTGGGAACTGGCTTAAAGCAGCTTTAAAAGCATCAAGACAACTGCATTATTATGAAACTTCACAAGCGTGACCTCAAACTGAAGAGGTGACAAAGCAGCAGAAATTCCCAGCCGGAAAACTGAAACAGCTGGAGACAAAAGGTCCACACAAACTTCCCAGTAATCCAAGTGGGCAGCTCTGGAACCAGGCTGTGAATTGTGCCTGAACTAAAACAATGCTGCCCGAAATAGCCTCGCTCAGTACAATAGTTTAGTGCTCTGGATTCCAGGTAATGGGAAGGAAAAGGAGACGGGAGCCTGCCCACCAGGAAGCCTCAGGATACCTCAGTAACTGGCTCAATTGTGCCTTAGGAACTGCCAGGCAGCATTCCAGCAGGCTGGAATGGTAAGAGGAGTGTGCTCACTTTGTCGATGAAGTAGAGTGCCACGGCCCGCTGCCGCACTTTCATCTCTTTGGATTTCCAGTCTTCTCGATACTGGTTTCGGATTTTATCTACACACTTCTTCAACCTCCGAGCTGTCTCGTACTTCTGCCAGTCCTTCTCACCCTGCAGAGGACAACGGGACACAGCCAGGGTTAGGCAGGGGCAAAGGCCCTGTTCTGACCTGCAGCTGAAGGCTCTGCAAGTCTGCGTGTGGCAAAAGGTCCCGGAGGACAAAGCTCTGAGCCTCTGCTGCTGAACAGCTCAGCTGCAGGCTCTGCTGCCACGCAGCTGTGGGGAATTCTGATTTCCATGATATTAAACGCTTCCATGGAAGCCACTCTAAAGACACAAAAGATATTATGTCTTTCCTGCTTCTCAGCATATAAATGGTTTCCTCTGCTTTATTCAGATGACACTTATGTTCTTTCAGCTGTGTAATTAACATCCATAAAACGTAAAAGCAACTTCAACAGTTCATCATCATTATTATATATTCGAGCCATGGCTAAAAGAGGTCATGAATTCACAGGGAACAGAGATTTTTCCCAGAGAAACCCCTTGTTTCCAATCCAGGAGAAATTCTCTTCTAAAAAGACTTAATGAGAAGAATTTCAATCCTACCCCTGACACTGAAGGCTCATCATTCTCCAGCAGGTTTTCACTGCTTCCAAGGAATTGATCCATTGATTGATTTCCTGCTCCCACAGCAGGGTTTGGTTTCCTTCAGTCCTTACAGCCTTCTCAGCCAGCAGCCTGGCCATGTCTTTCATTTTACAACTGACAAGTGAGCAGCCCATAGTTAGAACTTCACCATCTGATCAGGCAGGGCCAGAAGCAGGGGAAATATCCACCAGAGCAAGCCTGTTCTTGGATAAATCATTTCCTTTTAGGTTTACACAGGGTATTCCTGCTAGGAATGACAATGCTGCTTTGCAGCAGCCGTTCTCCAGATTCCATCTGCTCTCCTGTGCAGGAATCGTTTTCCTTCTTTTCAAGGGGGATCAGAAGCACAGAAACTTTCTACATTTTGTAATCAGAGTAGGATGAAACAAGCCAGCTTTACCTCCTATCCCTCTCCCAGCCAACAGCTACATCTGCTTCTTGGAGACATGACCAGTACCACTGAATTTAAGTAGATCCTCACCTTAATTCTTGAGCTAGGGTTCAACATAATGTACTTGATAGAGCCTTGGATGTTCTCAGTCCATGACACCAGCCAGGTAACCTTGTTGTCATGCCGGACCTCCTTCCATTTGTGTCCTGGTGGAGGAGGAGGGATCTTGGAATCCCTGCAAAATAGCAAATAACTATTTAAAGAGACTTCCACAGCATCACAATGGAGAAAGCAATGAATACCCTCACACAAAGAAAGCACAGGGGAAGAAGCCTGAGGCAACTTCACTACTTATTGCACAAGCAGGAAATCAAGTGAATAGTCAAATCTCAGGAATGTAACTGCTATTAATGTGTGCCTGATGTGTGTGACACAGGTGGGAGACACACTGCAAGGACCAGTTTTGGTCTGAGCACACTGCAAGAGTGTGGATGCTTATCAGGACAAGACTGAAGAGAAGCCCAGCAAATCTCAGCCTTCAGCACAGAGGAAGACAAAGTATGGCAGCCTACCTAGGAGAAAATTCCTTTCTGGAAATACCAGCAGGAAAGATCAAGCTGTGGGTGTGAGGAAGAACATATGCTGACAAAATTCTTTGTGAAACCCCTGATAGTCTTGTTCAGTCTTTGCTTGTGTGACTCAGGTTTTTATCCATGTAAGAGTTCAGATAAGCAGCATGTGTGCTGTACATGCTTCTGTATCAGCCCACACAGGGGTTGAAAACAGAAACTATCCTAACTAGAAAGCAAAGCGAAGGTGAGAAGCATCCGGTGCTCACTTGCTGCAGTTAATGATGATGTCTTCTGGCATGATGCGTCTCTTCAACATGCCCATTTTGGGATGGTTCCCACGACCTCGGAAGAGACCTGGGGGTTCAATCTTAAAGTTGGCAATCCTCTCCTTGTGGTTGTCCATCACACAGTAACCATATTCCTTCAGTAGCCGCTCATTCTCCTCTTTGATTTTCTGGAAGAAGCCAAAAGCACGGATGACCTGGTGTATCCAGCACCACACGCATCTCAACACGCCAACACTGATGCTGAAAACTCAACTCAAAAGCAGATCCCCATCATGCCAAGTGCTGTATCAGCACCCAGAGCAGCAGACTGTCCAGAAAAGCATTCATAAAATGCAAGCAGCACAAACAAACTGGGAAAAGGGAAAGGATGTGGAAAAACTCTCTTAAAACTTGTGTTTGAGAGAAACAGATCAGGGCTGGCGCAGACAGCTACAGCTTTGCCCCAGTAGAGGCACATACCTCTATCCACGTATCACAGCTACAAGGGCAGCCCCAGCACAGTAATGATGCTTTATAGCCTCTATTCAGCATTTGACACCCACTGGACTTTACACCTTGTTGTTTATGTGTAAAGCCTCAGACTTGAGTGTCTGAACTCGGCAGCAGAAGGCAGGCAGAGGAATGTCTCCAGTCTGCTGCGTGTCCAGCCTGTGTCAGCAACTGGGCTCGTAAGCAGAACACAGGCTCCCAAGTAAAAATGTGCTGAGATTTCAGTGCATACCTCTGTGCTTGAACTCTGACTGTACAGAGAGAGAAACAGAAACACTGCAGCTCAAATAAAACATCTGACCCACAGACACCACTGGGGCGCCAGGCTGAGGACCTGAGAGGGAAAACCTCTGCTGCTTTCTCACAGCAACTGCCACAGACAACAACTGAGAAGGGCCCACCCCGTGTTTAACAAATGCAAGCAGCAGTAAGACGTGGGCTCTCTATTTTGGTGGGACCCCTCTGAGCCCAAAGGCAGTAATTCCAAGCTACCAAACCCCTTGCTCAAAGGACAATGACTGCAGAGTTGCAAGAGAGAACTTGGGGCAAGTTTCCAGCTTCCACTGCAGGAAGTCTCAGTCATTTCATTCTCTCCCACAAGCCGCTGCAACCCTGATACTGGGAAATAAAGTTTATTCTTATTCAGAAAACTGCATGACCTCATATTTAAGATTTGTTCTCTCATTTTAAACACTAATGCCATTGCTGCATCCCCTCCACCATCCCCAACTCCATCCTCCAGACCCAAGATGCTTCTAAAATGAAAATCTATCTTTAACCAAGTGTCCACTGCTCACTGGTGGCCAGGGACCAAGGCTCCCATGGGGGAAGCACCTCTCATTCTCTTGATGAGGAGCCTTAGCCCTATCAGTATCATTTTAAGTCAGGATGAAGATTCAGCTGTGAACACTGTGCTTTGCCTTACCTGAGCTGCACAGTAACAACTCTGGCAGTTCCTAGGAAAGCTGGTGAACACTGATTTATAGACAGCAAGGCAGGCAGAGGAATGATTACACAAAGATGTTCACAAGCCAGCTATGAAGAAAGATGTCTCCTAGAATTCCCTCTGATACCTGTTTCTCCTCCTTGGACATCTGTTTCCTAGCTTCCGACTGAGCTTTGAAATACTGGCTCATGTGGGTGAAGTCACACTTGCTGAGGCTGGTGATAGTGCTCTTCTCTTCAGGGGACATTTCCTTGCAGAAAGAAAGCAGCAGTTCAGTTTTCATACACAGTAAGGTTTATGCATGGCAGAACTTACCCTAAAGACAGGTTCTCACAATAAATCCCCAAATTCCTGCACATGCTCCCTCCAGCTGAGGTCAAAGAGAGAAGCACAAGAGGAGTGCTGGTCCTCCAGCAGTGTGATCTCTGCAAGTGCTGGGCAATGCTGCACCACCTCCCAGAGTGCTCACACTGAATAGTGGCTGGGACCATTGAGGCACAGGGAGACAAATCCAGTAATCCACCTAGGAAAACTGCATCAACTGGTCTCAAGGTTTGATCTCACAGCTGATGACTGAGGTGAAGTTCTGGGGTTTAGGTCTTCAGATGGGGTTTCCTTCGAATATAAAGGTGTCTCTTCAACAAGGGATGTAACACATCAGTTATACCCTATGATGCTACATAGAACAAGCAAATTTGTTTGGGAGAAGTCTGACTTGGTTGGTTTAGAAAGTATTTATGAGACAGTCCTTGTGGTGAAACTGAGATGAACGGAAAACTCACAGCTACGATCTGAGGCAGCTTTTAGTTGCCCCCAGTGAACCTTCCCGTGCATGGAGCAGTTGCCCCTTTTCCCTGCCCGGTGCCGAGGGGACACTGGCCATGCAGAGCCACTGCCCCAGGACTACGTACATACCTTCCTCCAGTCTTTGAAGAAGTTTTTCCTGAAGATTTCCTTTGTAGTGTACTCATGATCAAGCATTTTTGCAAAGAATGTGGCAACTTCTTCTGCTTTGGTACTCAGCTTCATGACTTTACCTACAAAGAAAGAAAAGATTTCCATTTTTAAAGCAAACAGAAACCAGGAATTGAAGCCACAAAGAGGTCATAGTAACTACCTTAAAGGACTCTGTATTTTTACCACAGGGAGGTTTTGCTTAAAAACGTTGCATAATAGAGCAAATGGGATGGCCAAAGGAAACAGAGGAGCACAATCGCTTGACTTTCATCATAAACATTTGGAGAAAGGTTTCCTCTGGAATCTAAACATCACAAAAAAGCAACAGCAATCTGCTGTGAGATGCAAGGCAGGAAGGGGAAAAGGCCTCCTGCAGGAAAGCCCATGTGGGACACCCCAGTGGTGTGGATCTCCAGGGGAGACACTGCTGTTTGAAGTGAAAGAGGCACACGCAGGTTCTATCACATTTCACATTCCAGCACTCAGACCTATAGGAAATACAGTCTCTCTGTTCCTCTTTACCCACAGAGGGGCTCTGCTCTGGAACACCCCTTCTAGCCCTCAGCTATTTCCAGCCAGGAAGAGCCCTTCCTATGGATATACCACAAATAGGCTGGAAAGTGATGCTAAATATTTAACCCTCCTTCACTGCAGGGCAACATGTCAGGGTGCTGCTAATGGTTCCCTCTGCTGCGGGAATGCCCTCCCGTGCCTCCAGACCAGGCTCAACAGGCTCTATCACTCTAAGACAGAGGGAGCTTTCACTGAATGGAGAGGTCACATTTCGGCTCATCTGCAAGAGTGGGAAGTGGAACTGCTGCAAGGGAAGACTTTGGAACACGAGAAAAAGAGACTGCTCCGACACGGAAGCTGTGGATCCCTATCGAGCATCTTTTCGGTCCAGACCACATTCCTGCCGACACGGGAAGTGCCAGTGATCCCTGTGGAGGACTCTGCACGCAGCTCACACCTCCAGCTAGCTGCAAGAAGTGTCTGAAGTGCCAGTGTGCAGGCAGCACCTGGGACTTTGTAACACCCATTGCACTGCACAAAGGGTAATACGGGAACAGCACTGCTGGCTCTGTGCTCTTGGGAAAAAACACCCCGCTTCTGATTTTCTACATGCTTGGGAAGTTGCATCATCTCCCAGATGAAAGCATGGGAGTCAGCTAGAATGCCTAAAGATCTGCAAGGCCTCATAAAACAGGACTTAGCAAACGGTCCTTCCAACGACCTGAGAATATTCCACATTAAAGCAACAGTAACTCTGCCAATTTTTAAGCTGCAACCTAAAACACAGCATTTGTTTGCTCGTAACAGGAAATGGGGGAAGGGAAATGCTTTTCCAGGCTGTGAGTCCAGCTTGAGAGAGGCCATGGAGTCAGTAACATGTTATGGGGCTAAAATGACTGGTTTTGTACCCAAATAGCTGAAGGCTCAGTCCCCTTTCTCTAGTCACTTTAGAATCTATTGCACTGGACCCAGTTTCCTCCTTTCTACAAAGGTTTGAAAAGGCTCTTGGTGACTGGGCATGGTTTTATTCCAGAGTCATGAGTATCAGTTACCTGCCTTAACAACTGAAAAGCAGAGAGCGACCAGGGACAACAGGAGCAGGAGAGACATCACATGGGCCATGATTGAAATGCAGCACCACCATCTACACTCACCGTGCCCAGCTACAGACAAACAGGCAAGTTCAAGCCACCTCCAGGGTATGAGCAGTGCTTGTTAACCCACCATCACCCAAACATATCATCAAACCCTAACAGACAGCTCTGCCTGCTTCTTCACTGAGTCTGCTCTTGCACCAGCAGCAGCTCCAGCATCATTATATTAGAATCATAGAATCCCAGACTGGTTTGGGTTGGAAAAACTCATCCAGCTCCAACCCCCTGCCCCGGGCAGGGACACCTTCCACTAGAGCAGGTTGCTCCAAGCACCTGTGTCCACC